CACATACATCCATACGTGTTTACATTTTTCACTCAACATACTCCATAATTTACATTTGAAAACACTCTTTATGAATGATGCCAAAATTGCCTTCTTTGAGGAACTACTGCTTTCTCATAATTGTATACACATGAAACTGAAGACCTGCTTTATTATATAATTGTCTGCTATGCATACAGAAATAGAGAGCGCTGACTTCCAGCAAAATAAGAGGTATGTAATCTACTGAAGAATGAGAACAAGTCTGTAACAGCTGGTTAACATTAAAAGAACTTTATGACAATACTAACTGGCCTCATTTAAATGTCTTTATTCATATCCTTATGTTCTCTTTTCAGAGGGACACAGACAGCTGCGTTGCCTCCTGTCCAAAACTTTGGCTGTCTAAGTCTAGTCCTTTTACATGTACCTAAAGTACACAAGGTTCTCTGTAGAACAGACCCAAGACATGATTCCAACTCCGTGGAGGTTCAAAGACACCGAACAGAACATGAACATAAGCTGAAGGGATAGGAAAGACAACAAGTAAGAAAAAGGGGGAAAGCACAGAGAGATGACAATGTTTGCTGTTATCTCAATCACAAGAAATTGCTGAAAGCTTCTGTGCTCCACCACAGATGCCATTCCCACCTGCAGCTTGAACAGTGCCATCATCTTCGTTGTATGTGTGTTCAAAGACAGCTAGGGAACCACACAAATACTGTGGAAACAACTCTAATATCCCCAAAACTTTTCTTTCATTAAGAAAGCTCCTCAAAATTCTGATGGATGACAAGTGGAGATATTAAGCTACGGACACTTCATCTAACTTACAAAACGTGTGCTTTCTTGTTTTAACTTTATTTATTACCATGGGTAGGGTGCAACTGAAAGTTACCACTAGATGTGTCAATTTGCAAATACAGACCAAATGCAGCATATACTTACTGACCTGCTCCTTCAAGCTCTACAGTACCTCAGCACTGCTATTTATGTTTTGGCTTATGGGTTTTGCAAAGTCACTGAGCACACGTGGCTTCTTGAGGAAGCCTTGAATTAACTCGTCTTTAAAATACTAGTGTGAAATATAACAAGTGTTTATTGTTACACCTACATAACTGTTCCAGAATTATTCTTAATAATGAACTATCACAGAGTACTGATTAGGAGGAAATTCTTAAAATTATATTCCCATTAGACCTAAACCTAAGTAAACCATTATTTTACTGCAACAAGGATCTAATAGAGTATTTGGTTTAATACAATTTCTCTGAATAATTTTTGCTAGTTTTACCACCAAGTGACATTAATTATTTCCGCTAATTTTATACTGCTCTTTGTGCTCAATAGACCAAAATGAACAAAATGCAAGTGACATCTCAGAAGTAGTCTGAATACTGACAGATGTTATTCTGGAAAACAGAATGCCACTGCAGAGATTACAGCATAGTCTCTAACCAGACAGGGCAGGAGTGTGACATCTTGCTTTAAAAGGGACATCATTACTCTGCACAGAACCCATTACTCAGTACTTGCCCTGATCTCAAAATTGCCCGTAAGTGTAATTACAGTATGAGATCTGCATTGAAAATCTTCAGAGGTGATGCCACCGACTCCAGAACCTGCTCTGCATCTTTACAGGAGCACAAAAAAAGGCACAGGAATTTCTCACTAAATTCTCCACACTTCTAAAGATCAAATTTTCACCGCAGTTTCTTCCAGAAGCGCACTCACAATAGCTAAGCCTGCTAGAATTCAAAGTTTACTTTAAGGTTCCCTTGCAGTGGTTTTCCTTCCCAGCTGTTATCAGTACACAGCTGGAGTTAATATGCTTTACTCTTGTTCACCATGTTTAAACTGGGCTGAAACAGCTGCTTCGTTTGCTCTAAGCTTTGCAACAATAGTATCTAAGCCTCAGTGGCAGTTTGTACAGGAAAATGTCTTATATCTCACAACGTCCGGATTTAATTCATTCGTTACTTGCTGGTGAAAAAACAAAATGTTAGTAACCGCCCTGCTTTCCAGCTACATAAAGTGGAAAAATTATTTTTTCTGCATCAGAAAAATCAGTTCATGGTAGTAATTTCTTTCCCCAGAATTGTTTAGCTGGAACCATTAATGTGAACAAATAAACAAATACAAATTGTCTGTCACAAGCAGTTGCCTTTCCATCACCGAGTTGAGTGCCTTAACTAGAAGGAAAGGGCTACATACGAGTATTGAGGGTATAAGAGTAATAATGCAATTCTACATTTTTTGTACTTCTATCATTAAAAAAAAAGACCATGTTTTTCACAGTAGGACCAAGTAACCTGTGATAGTCTTTGATCATTATCTTTTTTATCTTTTTATCAATATGCAAACATTCATACATTTTTTCTATCTGAAGACAAATATAAAGCAATTCAGAATTGCCTGTTGTACAAAAGAGATTTTTCAGATTACAGATTACTCTTTTGTAGGCAAGATAATATCAGTAGCTAATGCCAAAGTATATAGACACATAGCTTAGAGTTTCAAATTCAGTTTCAGCTTAAATACAGTGTTTTGAAAAGAAAGTTCCAAGAGTAGGAGACTAGAACACTGTTTACACTTTTTTTAAGTTTAAAAATGTAATGGTTTCAGTGAAAAAATTTGCACTTGTGTTCCTAGACTTACACCACAGCCACATTAAAAAAAACCAACATCATTTGCTGAAAGACAGATCCTCTAGATACAGTGCTCCCTCATTCTGCTTAGAGCACTTTGCTTTGTTTGTGAAATCACAACATGGATGGTCTCAATTACTTTTTAAAGTTTTAATTCAATTAAGCTACAGAGATAAATATATTTTTTGGTTTGTTTTAGTTCAGAAGAGCAATCCTGGCAGTAAATTAGATGGCTTGGCTCCCAGTTAATTTATTTTCTCACATCTGTATTTCCCAAGTTGCCTATGGTTAGTTATACAACTTTCACTGCATGCAAAAGTCTTGTCTTAACCACATGGGACAGAAAGCAATTTAGTAGGTTCTGTTGTATATTTTATTAACTGAAAATGAACAAAAATCTTGTAGAAGATTAAACAAGTAGTTCATGATCTTGACAGAAGTTGACATTTCTATCAAAGGTTAAACTTCTCCTACATGCCAGCACCTTTTGCTGGTGTCAGCTACCCAAAAATCCTCAGTATATCATTCAACAGTTGTTAAAAGGTTGTACAAACATATATTTGTCTGGGAGTAAAGTTACCAAATAAATCCGAACCGTAGAGACATTTGTTAGGTGCACCACCAAATTCCAAAGACATGCTGATTTCACAGCAATGCCATCCATTTTAAGAAGTTAAGACTCCTTGACCCTATCTCTAAGTTTTGGAGTCAGTTTTTGTTAGGCAATATGCATACATCAAAGATGCCCTCCATTTTGGAGATACTAGACTGACAAAAGGACAGGAGGAAAAGGAGAATTATCCCCGATTTTCAGACAAAAAACTGAGATGGAGAGATCAAATCACTTGCAGCAGAAGAAGGAACTGAACCCAGACCTTGTCACTCTGTCTCGAATTCTCTCTCTTGGTGTTTTCCACCTATTTCAGTAAGCTTTTTCACTTCTCTCTTCCCAGTATCAAGCCAAAATAAGATAATCAAATGTAACTCAGCAATAGCCCTTCCACTCTAAGGCAGAAAGAGAGCCAAGGTTATTAGAACATCCTGAAAACAACAAAGTTTAAAAACCAACCACACACATATACAGAGCCTAGAGAATTACAATCACTACTATTTTAATGGGTTTAGATGGAGAACATAAATTATCTTAATGATTTCCAGACTTCTCTGATAGAAATTTTGAATGAGCTAAGATCAGATAAACAGTGTATCAAAGACTTCAGTTCCAGATGCCTCCAGAATGCTTACAAGACAGAGATGTTTGGAGAAGAAAGTAAATACTTTCAACAACTCATTAAATAAAAAGAACATGATAGAAAACGGATGATCATAATATTAAATATTAAAAGCTGAAAGCAGTCTGAAAAGAAATGTCAGGTCTTTGCTGCCTTATGATGAAAGGGTGTGCTTTGCAACAAGTTTTGTAGGCTGCCAATGTATTTTACTGCATTTAGTCACAGCGCTGCTCCATAGGAGTTGATCAGGTAACACATTTAAAACTACGCAATAGTATTTTTAAGACACAAAGGTGAAGTAGCTATCTCAAACTGGGAAAGGTGGCTAAACCAGAGGTTTCAAATGTTATGAGAGTTATTGCCAGCCATAAATGCATAAAAAGCATTCTCAGATCTGCGTTCCAGAAACATATCACAGCAAAATTTCTAGTAGCGGTAAGTCCTCACAAAGTGAGAGATGTAAAAGAAAATATCCAGAAACAGGGACGATCAGTTGTTATTAAGAATTTGGGAGAGATCCTCAAATGGTTTAAGTGTCTACGGCTCCAGTAGCCCCAGTGGAGCCACGACACTTTGCAACACCCGAGGATCTGCCCTGTGGAGAAAGCGAGCTCAAGCTTGATGGTTCAC